CCTTCATGTGCTATTCCTACAGAAAGCAATCCTGAAGAGAAAAACTACCTACCCTCAGATGACTATGAAGGCCCGGCTCTCTAGCGTAGTTGGCTAAACCGGATTGCACGGAGACCGGGTGACGAACTCCTTGTGGCCCGGGTTCAATCCCGAGGGTAGGCAGGAAAGCCACATTTTCTCCAAGATTTACGGTATTTACAATGGAATCAAGGCCGAAAGGTTGCGATATCCATAATACCGAGCCTAAGGGTTAACAACTCATGACTTTTGGATACTAAAACAAACAAACAAACATGACTATGAAGAAATTGTTGGCGAACGAGCTGGAATTTTCGCGGTCCACGGTTTGAAGAACGCTGGCATACCCTTTTTTTTCCTGAACGGAATAGTCAGTGGTAAACAGGTTCTAATCCTTAGGATTTCCCACTCACCAATGCGCAGTTTTTTAATGCACTTCTTCTTCTTTTTCTTCTTCTTCTTCTTCTTCTTCTTCTTCTTCTTCTTCTTCTTCTTCTTCTTCTTCTTCTTCTCATGCTCCTCCCCCTTCTTCTTCTAGCTCATGCTTGGTAGCGTTCCAAATAAGGGATGGTGATTTTTTAATTTTTTTTATTTCAGCAGCAAATACAAAAATCCTAACCTGCACACTTCATGGCGACTTTACTAGTCACGTGGTCTGAAGCCCTTAGGTTCAAGAACTCCGCTTTCCCTCCCTCCCAAGTCCTACACCACCCTAAAAGTGGTAAATACAGACGGTTAAAGCTCTTTCGGTTGTATTTGTGACAACAGGAGTCTTCTTTGTTTTCAGCATTCAACGATCACATTGAGACAAGACACAGTGAAAATAGCAGATAACGGACAAACGCTGCAAACGCAAAAGAGCTGGATGAGAGTAGACCATCAGACAGACAAGAAGTCGGTGGGGAGATAACTTACAGGCAGACTTGTTGGTGGGGAGATAACTTAGCTTCGAATATTTATAAACTTCGGGACTTTTGACTTGATCCAGAACTTGGTTTTTGTGCGAACTTCTTTTAAAATATATTCTATATGAAGTCATAACATTAATCACATATACTGAGTCAGTATGCTCTATGGAGCAGAAACTTGGAAAACAGACAGAAAGATAAAGGGCATGTTCAGAGGTTTTGAGAGAAGATTTGTTGGGGTTCACATGGGAGGATAAAGTCAGCAATTCAAGATTACAACAAAGAACAGACTTGGAAAACGAAAATTTAGAAATAAAAAAAAATGAATACAGAGGTGGACTAGACACGTCCTCAGGATGAAGAAAGAGAGACGGTCGAGACCGGCAACGCAATGGACACTACAAGGGCAGCGAGGAAGAGGCAGGCGCTTGGAGGCGAAACCTTGAGACTGAACTAAAGGCTACGCGAAGGACAAAACTGGAGATGGAGAGGAGGGCTCAGGATCGAACGGAGTGGCGACACTTTGTCACTGCCTTATGTGCCCCTGTGCGCGATGAGGATTGATTGACTGAGTCATGCCGGTAATAACTGGCGTGAAATCGAATCAGTTACTTTAGTATACATAATGACATTCGAACGGCCCCCATACAATCTATGATGATATCAAATCAGCCAGTATCTTATCTATGACGGTGTTGTGAGGGATCACTATATTATCTAGGATTACATCACATCTGTGACTTTCTTATGTATGATGATACCAAAGCGATCACCACATCATTCCCCTTTGCCCTGTGCAAGATATTTAGATAGTTAACAACAAGGGATGATGCCTCCTTCGCGCCCTAATCCAAGTGTCTCAACATTAGAATGAGATCGTTTCTTGTGTGGGTTCCAAAGTCCCGCTTAGGTGCGGTTGGGGGGAAGAAGGGGGGGGGGGGGGGGTTACACAATACTGCCTTCATCCCGCCCAAGTAGGTTTACCGCAAAATTGGACTCATTAGAATGTTGGGAACAACTCACGCTTCTCATCCCACTTTCGACTGCGTGATTTCAGATCGGTTACGACGGGCTGTCCTATGGGTGTTGCTTGTTTTGACTGTTGTATGTACCTCCACCACAACCAATAGGCGTATAAAAGTACAAAAACATCAATGATTTGATATTCATGAATTATCGCGCCTTCGGCGCTTTCCCCTCACGGTACTTCTTCATTGCACACAGGCGCCAGCGGCACCTGAGACCTTATCAAAACAACACATTCCAGAAACAAAATTCGTTAACAGAAAAGAGAGTTGCAAAAAGATAGCTGCTCCGTTTAACGGCACGCTGTGTATAGACAGCAAAGGAAGACATCTCATAACATCCCTACATAGGACAGCCCGTGGGAACCAATACGCGATCACGCAGCCGAACGAGATGGGGTTAGAATCGTGAGTTGTACCAAGTTTTGCATATGTATTGAGTCGAAAGGTGCAAATTTCGCAGCCTAGCTTAAATCACAACACAATGTGCCAACAGCCACTCTGAGGGCGATCGCAAAAGACGCAGGCCGATGCTTTGCTGAAAAAAAATCGTCACGTTCAACCAGCATCCCCCGAAAGGGAAGCTTTAGGTTATAACTGTGCCTAGGTTATGTGCGCCACATAAAATGGCTTAGCACTGCTCGCCACCAAGAAACCCCCAAAAAGACGTTTGCAGTGTTGATGCTACCAAAGGAGACAGACCCAAATGCTGTTCCGACCAGCCAATAGGCGACGCGGTCGCCGATGCGCAGAAGAAGATTTATTAGACTGTGATTGGACATTTCAGGCGAGGATGTCCAGGAGATAAGCAACGAGTGGTATTCAACACCCTCACCGAGCTGCACTAAGTCCTTTAAGCTTACAAGTGTGTAATCAGTACAGCCAGGGAAGGTCGCACACACAGATATCTATCTAGAGAACAATACACCGGCTGAGATTAGCGAGAGAATGCCCCAGACGTTTTCTCGGTTAGATCATCATCATGTGTCGCGCCAGTGCGCGTAGGCTGTCATCTTTCAGCATATTGCATGATTACCGGAATCATGGTTTGCGGTTTATACAACGGTTCAGCATCATGGCACAAGGGTAGTAACCCATAAGATGCTGCACCACACAGAACCCTATCACCTCGATATAACGGAAGCAGACACAGAGGTTGACGAGGCAAGGTGTGGACAGATTGAGTATCCGAGGACGTAAATACCAGTACGTATGCAGCACATGCCAAGGATAGCACCCGATGCTTCTTCAAAACCTGAGGCAGATAGGCAGAACAGGCCTAAAGAATGTGGAGGAGAAGTAAAGTAGTAGTAGCAGCAGTAGTAGTAATAGTAGTAACAGCAGTAGTAGTAGAAGTAGTAGCAGTAGCAGCAGCAGCAGCAGCAGTAGTAGTAGTAGTAGTAGTAGTAGTAGTAGTAGTAGTAGTAGTAGTAGTAGTAGTAGTAGTAGTAGTAGTAGTAGTAGTAGTAGTAGTAGTAGTAGTAGAAGTAGTAGTAGTAGCAGCAGCAGCAGTAGTAGTAGTAGTAGTAGTAGTAAGGGGAGGAGGAGGTTAAGGGAGGAGGGGCGACAATAACAGGCTGGGACAGGAGGAGGAAATCAAATTAAAGCCATCAAATGTATTCCAAACCAAGTAACTATCCAGCTGATCAAGATCTACCATAGACAAACAAGCTGTCATCAATAAGGCTGTAGACTAGAAGGTGACCGTAGATTAGCCCGTGACTACTGATTGTTGTGACAGTTCCACACTCTAGCTACATGCCACATTTAGCCTAAGTACGTGTCAGCAGTATAATCAGTCTTATCGGCTGACGTGGGTTTGTGTCCATAGCAAGGGCGTCGAGACGGAGAAATCACACATTTCATAGCGGACCCAAAAGGTTAACGCCACGTTTAAGTGCGTAGAAATAATAACACACAAACTAATATTACTGTGTGCTAAGTGGCCAATTTGGTCCTTTTCTTTTAGTGCACCTGATCTCCAAGATTTCGCGGGAAAATGCAACACTATCTTCGCCCCCCCCCCCCCCCACCCCCAAGTGGATTCTCCGGCGGAAACTCCCCACGAAATCTCAAAGTCCTCGACATAAAGTAAACACAAAGAAAAGTACGGGCAGTAAATATAATCACATCCATCCATCCATAAATGTAAAAAATAAACCAAAAAAATCGACCACATTCAACCTACAGCGAGCAGTATCGGTTATAATTGCAGTCTGGTTTCTTTGTGCCAGTTATGTTGTCAAAGAAATGTTAATTGCACCAAAACTAGTGGCTTGGAGCTGTACTCTAGTACCTAATGAGGCCTGATGTGGAGGGAGCTGCTAGTGTCACAGATAGGTAGGTGGGTAAGTTTTACACATCACACAAGCGATAAACACCCGGTGAACTAAAGTGCCATGCGGATGAGAATCACCCGTGGAGAGGTCCCAGAAACGCTGTTAAGCAGTTAGGCAATTTTTAACAAATTGTTTAACAATATGGAACGTAAAAACACGGATTTTAAAGAGAACGGTACGTGGTGACACGGGAGTTTACTCAGACCCTTTATAATTTGTAGGGGAAGACTAGGGACTTAACAATCAACTCCCTCTTTTATTTCGAAAAAAAGGGGAGGTGTGGTGAAGACTCAAGGTTCCTGAGCCACAGGCTCCAACACCACTGATCTATGAGTCGACAGGTCGCTCAAATCATCGGCGACCGGGTCGCCAGCTGGTTCGCTGATAGACGACATTGTATACGGTCGGTACAGTTTTTGGGTCTGTTTTCTTTAATCACATCAACAATTCGGTGTTTTTTTTTTTTTCCCCAAGGCTTTTGGTGGCGAGCAATGCTAAGCCATATTTAGCAGTGACGGTGATGACAGCAGCAGCAGTAGTAGTAGTAGAGGCGGTGGCGGTAAAAGCAGCAGTATTAGTAGTGGTGGCGGTAGTAGTAGTAAACAAGCAAGGTATACAACAGCAGCAAGTTACCAAATAGTAGTAGTAAACAAGCAAGGTATACAACAGCAGCAAGTTAGCAAACAACGTATACAACGACAGTAGCTTACCTCAGTCTTGGATATAAAATTACTGGGTCCGTTACTGATGACTCTGGGGATCTGTAGGCCACGCCCGTGAACCTGGAATACATTACAGAAAATATAGTGGCGATTACTGAAAATATAGTGGTGATTACTGAAAATATAGTGGCGATTACTGAAAATATAGTGATTACAGAAAATATAGTGGTGATTACAGAAATATAGTTGTGATTAAAGAAAATATAGTGGCGATTACAGAAAATATAGTGGTGATTACAGAAAATATAGTGGTGATTACAGAAAATATAGTGGTGATTACAGAAAATGTAGTGGTGATTACAGAAAATATAGTGGTGATTACAGAAAATATAGTGGTGATTACAGAAAATATAGTGGTGATTACAGAAACTATAGTGGTGATTACAGAAAATATAGTGGTGATTACAGAAAATATAGTAGTGATTATGGAAAATATAGTGGTAATTACAGAAAATATAGTGGCGATTACAGAAAATATAGTGGCGATTACAGAAAATATAGTGGCGATTACAGAAAATATAGTGGAGATAACAGAAAATATAGTGGTGATAACAGAAAATATAGTGGTGATAACAGAAAATATAGTGGCGATTACTGAAAATATAGTGGTGATTACAGAAAATATAGTGGCGATTACTGAAAATGTAGTGATTACAGAAAATATAGTGGTGATTACAGAAAATATAGTGGCGATTACAGAAAATATAGTGGCGATTATAGAAAATATAGTGGCGATTACAGAAAATATAGTGGCGATTACAGAAAATATAGTGGTGATTACAGAAAATGTAGTGGTCATTACAGAAAATATAGCGGTGATTACAGAAAATATATTGGTGATTACAGAAAATATAGTGGTGATTACAGAAAATATAGTGGTGATTACAGAAAATGTAGTGGTGATTACAGAAAATATAGTGATTACAGAAAATATAGTGGTGATTACGGAAAATATAGTGGTGATTACAGAAAATATAGTGGTGATTACAGAAAATATAGTGGTGATTACAGAAAATATAGTGGCGATTACAGAAAATATAGTGGTGATTACAGAAAATATAGTGGTGATTACAGAAAATATAGTGGTGATTACAGAAAATAAAGTAGTGATTACAGAAAATATAGTGGCGATTACAGGAAAAAAAATAGGGGTGATTACAGAAAATATAGTGGTGATTACAGAAAATATAGTGGCGATTACTGAAAATGTAGTGATTACAGAAAATATAGTGGTGATTACAGAAAATATAGTGGCGATTACAGAAAATATAGTGGCGATTATAGAAAATATAGTGGCGATTACAGAAAATATAGTGGCGATTACAGAAAATATAGTGGTGATTACAGAAAATGTAGTGGTCATTACAGAAAATATAGCGGTGATTACAGAAAATATATTGGTGATTACAGAAAATATAGTGGTGATTACAGAAAATATAGTGGTGATTACAGAAAATGTAGTGGTGATTACAGAAAATATAGTGATTACAGAAAATATAGTGGTGATTACGGAAAATATAGTGGTGATTACAGAAAATATAGTGGTGATTACAGAAAATATAGTGGTGATTACAGAAAATATAGTGGCGATTACAGAAAATATAGTGGTGATTACAGAAAATATAGTGGTGATTACAGAAAATATAGTGGTGATTACAGAAAATAAAGTAGTGATTACAGAAAATATAGTGGCGATTACAGGAAAAAAAATAGGGGTGATTACAGAAAATATAGTGGTGATTACAGAAAATATAGTGGCGATCAGAGGTAATCAAAGAAGACTGAAGGTGATTAGATGTAATAAAAAGTGATTAAAAGTGATCAGAGTTTAGCAAATGTGACTAACAGTGATTGGAGGTAACAGAGGGTGACTAACGGTGATTGGAGGTGACAGACGGTGACTAACTGTGATTGGAGGTAATAGACGGTGACTAACGGTGATTGGAGTTAAAAGACGGTGACTGACAGTGATTGGAGGTAACAGACGGTGACTAACCGTGATTGGAGGTAACAGACGGTGACTACAGGTGACTGAAGGTAATAAAATGTGAGTAAATTTGAGAGTGTTGACTTCATTATACCGTTTTTTATTCCATATTGATGATCATCGTGTGTATGGAAACAAGTCTGAAGAAAGAAACCGCGGTCGCTGTTCTAATTATGCCTCCTCCTGCTGCTGCTGCTACTTCTTCTTCTTCTTCTTCTTGTCCACCATCACATCCTCCTTCTCACGTTCCTCATTCTCAATCTTCAATGTCTACTTTCCTTTACTTCGAACCCCAATCCAACACTGTTAGTTTAACGACTGCCAGGGCTTACTAACTTATCGGTCGACCCCCTTCTTAAGGCAATTTTTAGCACTACTTTAACAGACACTTTGTGGTCAGTTTTGGCACCTTTAAAGACTCTTTGTTGAAAGTACTGGCACCTGTGCGTGGAGTCACCTTTATTTTTGTTCCGGGATACGCAGGCGTCGATGGAAATGAAAGAGCTGACAGGTTGGCTGGATCTGCTATCACTACCACGGTAAGCCTATCTATGGATCATGCTGATATTATCAATGCCCTCAGAGAAATGGGAAGGATAGAGGACTTTGGGAGCAGTGAATCCACATCACTCGCCAGAATGGCAGACTTGGGAATTAAGATAGGCACAGCAAAAAACGAGACGCACACCAGACAAGCCAGAAGACTTGTTAATCAACATAGAACTGGTACTATTAGCCATCGGACGTTGGGGTTCATACTGAGGGGAGGATCTGAGCACCTATGGACATGTCCGGAGTGCAATGAGGATAACCCAACTAACTAACTAACTAACTAACTAACTAACTAACTAACTGGCACCTTTTTGTCTAGACGAAAAAAACCCGACTACCACAGTATCACTATCAGGGGCGTGCCTCAAAACAAAACAAAAAATTTGTCGGTCAACCCCTTCTTTAGGCACATTTCTTTAGCACTACTTTGACAGCCGATTTGTGGTCAGATTTGGCACCTATTTAGACATTATTTGAAAGTACTGACACCATTTTCTCAGTGCAATAGGGGAAGAAGCTCTGATTTCCACAGTATCACCAACAGGTGCGTGCCTCAAAACAAAACAAAAACCACACACACACAGTTAACAAGCTGTTAGGTCACTAGTATAATAAATTTACTACCGTACAGCAATACCTGTTAGCACATAGACCAGTGGTTTCCAACCTTTTCATGCAGGAAACAAACCAGTATCCTTGAAGGGAAAGCTTTAGGTTATAATTGCGACTAGGCTATGTGCGCCATATAGGACTGCTTAGCATTGCAAGCCATCATGAGTCTAACACATGAACTTGCTATGTTGTCAAATAAGGCAGAAATTCACTTGCAGTGGATTCCGTCACACTGTGGCATCAAAGGCAATGAAAGCGCAGATGCTTTAGCCAAGGAAGGCAGTAACAAACCACAGACCTACCAGCCACTATCTTTTCCAGAAGTCAAAACTCTCATTAAGAGAAAATCAGAAACAGATTGGAAAACCAACACTGGTTTTAACTACGAAAAAGATTTTCTGAAACACTTGAACAGAACAGACCAAGTCACAGTTTTTCGCTTACGCACTGGACACTGCAGACTCAATAAACACTCACATAAATTAGGTATGAGCCAAACAGCTCTCTGCCGGTGCCTTCATGCTGAACAGACTCCAGAACATGTCCTGCAAGACTGTCCTCTCCTGGCGGAGCTGCGGAGCGACATATGGCAACACCCAGTAGAACTGACAACTAAGCTTTGGGGAAACCTAAGAGACCTTGAAAAGACATCCCAGTTTATGACCCACAGTGGATTATGCGCATGACCAGAGATCGCTGAAGAAGAAGCAAGCCATCATGAGCTCTAAAAAGAACACTTGCAGTTTTGATGCGATCAAAGGTGACACACCCAAATACCGTCCCGGCCGGTGAAGTCGTCTACTGGCGAGCCAATGAGCGACCCGATTCCGAACGCCCCCCCCCCCTGTGCTGCCATCTTAAATATATATGACAAGGCCCCTCCCCCCCCCCCCTCCCGGTCTCTTCATTTACGCCCCTCGCCGAATGTACAAAAATGAGATTTAAAAAAAGAAGAACCAACAGAAAATGCCAAGCTCCCCGTGTGGGTTCCGGCGTCTCATTGTGGGGGAAACAAAAATAGACCCACTGCCTGCCCAACAAGCATGTCGTAAGAGTCGACTAATTGGGGTTTTTCTTTGAAGTCGGAGAGGCCAGAATTATGCATGCAAATAAGTAAGATCCGTAAAACGGATGTGCACGCAACACTCAGTTTCAGGAACAAGTATTAGGTCCAAAGGCGGGTGAACAACCAGAACTTTTCGCTGGAATTTACAGCCGGTTAACGCGAAGAAGAAAATACCATGCGCTATTATTAACGAAGAACTTGGAGAAAATATAAATAAAAGCTTCAAACATAACAGGAAAAAAAAACATCATTTACAACTGGTAATTTAGTGTTAAAGTGATGGTTTGTACATTTTGTTTTGATGATATCTGTTGCTCAAGTCTGATGTTGGACGAGACAAAAAGGATTACTATAGGTACGTACCACAGGAGTAGAAGTAGTGATGGTTTGGTGGTGTATAAGACATATGATGTTAGTTAGTTAGTTGCGTATCCTTTACAGGACGTTGCAGAACCAACACCAACATTTCTCGACTTTTGTGGTTTTCCTAGTCTAAGTGAACGTTTAGCAGTTTGACATTGCTCCCTGAACGGTCAGCTCTCGGTACCACAGATCTCTGTACCACTGTCGAAACCACCAACGCAAGATAAATCGTCCCCAGCTGGGATCTAACCCGGCACTGCGGCATTACGAAACGCGTTCGCAACGCCTAAGCCACGGACGCCGAAATATGAGGTTAGACTCATATTTTTATAGAACAATTGGTGGGCGATGTAGTCAACATTACGCCGGCCGCCTTTACTTCACATGGCTTCACCTGGTACCTATCTGGGACACTTTGGCAGCCAAGGTCACCTTTGGAAACGAAATTCTGCTACCTCGTGGATTTGAACCCACGACCTT